ATTTGATCGTAAAAACTTGGCTGATGCTCTAAAGACATTAGGTAATCCTCAGTTATCGTTTCAATCATTGGACTTGTTGCCATCTATAAGGCATGGTGGTACATTCCAGGATTTTATGTGCTTGTATATGCATCTTTCTATTCTCAGTCTAATAATTTTGCACATTTCACTATCAATCTCTCTCTCTCTCTCTCTCTAAAATGTGTTTTGAGTTGTTATATCATTATATGAATTCGGCAAGAGGCCGTCACATGTTTTTAGCATGTAAATGTCTTCACTAATATATTGCATGTCTTACTCTGTGTTAGGCAACAAAGCTGTGCAATCTAATGGATACTCAGATGCTATTGAGCGGTATACTTGCGCTATTGCTCTTTGTGAAAACGCAGTGTACTACTGTAACAGGTATATTCACAGATTTCTACAAGTAGTGTTTTTTCCCCCCATGTTATCATCTCAGTTTTGCTTTTAATTTATGGCTTCAGTTTTTAACTTGATGTGATGTTCCATAGTTTTTTCCATGTTTAGAAATAGCAACTAAATGAGTTTGTCTCTCTATCTGTTGCTTGGGTGAACCAAAGACCATGCCTCCAAAACTTCCATGTTAACCATTCTTTCTACTGTTGCTGTGTGTCAAACCTGCTTGTACCTATCAGTTTTCTGCTATACATGTAGCCCTTGAACTTCTTTCATCAGTACTGCAAAAAGGACTAGCCTTTCTTGTTGCTTATGAGTTATGATGATCCTTCTGTATCAGCATACCTAGCTGTCTTGGTGCAAATGTGCTGCCTGATGCCTTGAACACTAGAGCTGGTAGCTTTGGTGGTTATGGTTAGGTAAGGACATTGGAATTGGAAACTTGATGTTTTCTGCTTTGATACAATATCTATTGCTACTTTGACCGATAAATTTGTATCTGAGTTGTTGATCCACTGACAATAGCCTTAGAAACTAACCTCTCCATCACCATCAACCATTGATTAGATATTAATTATTGATTTATTGGAAGCAGCACGTGCACTAACCACAGCGCTGGGGTCTGGTTAAGTCCTGGGGTTAGAGAATATAACCAAAAATGAAGTTATCCAGACCACTTTTCTTTTCTTTCTTATTGGTATTAAGTAAGAAAGGTGGTCTGGAAAACTATATTTTTTTTAACCTTTTCTTTTGCATTAAATGCTTCTGTTTGGCACTATAAATTTGATAAAACAAGAAAACAAAGAAAAGCTTCTACTTGGCCACTTATTTGATTGAAAATATGACACAGCAAGTATGGAGATTGTTGGATACTGAGTTGCATCATTATCATATGGTGAGGCTCTTTTTTTTTTTTTTTTTTTTTTTTTGGCAAATGTCAAATCCTTCTCATTCCAGATGTTGATTTATGTGTCATTTATAAAATCAATTGAAATTGTCTACGTTACAGTGTTTGGTGATTATATTTGGTTAACTTCACCGTAAGTAATTTGTTTTATGCACTTTATCCTGTTTTTATTCACCCAGAGCAGCTGCTTATACTCAGATGCGCAAATACAACGAAGCTGTTAAAGATTGCCTCAAATCCATTGAAATTGACCCAAATTATAGTAAGGCATACAGTCGTTTGGGTCTTGCATATTATGCACAAGGAAAATATAGTGATGCAATCAATAGAGGCTACAAAAGAGGTCAGTATGGTACCTGTCTCTAGTTGTTTACTCAAATTTCATGATCGAGGAACTGTATGCTTTCAGTATGTCTAGTGATGATGCTGTCAATAATGGTTTTGGAAAAGGTCTGTAATGCTAACTCAGAATATCAGGACCCAGAATTTGTGTACTTTCAGTTTTAGAGATTCCTGCGTGATCTTAGTTGAGTTGTGCAAAATGCAAATATTACTGTCATAAGAACCCTTAAGTTATTTTACCTTTTATATGTTTTGGTGAACACACTTTGAAATACCTAATTGGATGATAGTACAATCCCCTAGTTTACCTCTGTTTCTGCAAGATGCATTGTCAAACTTATCCCTTGGCAAAGAAATATGTAGAGTTGCCTACCACCATAGCCCTCCCCATCTTACTAGACATCCTAAAAAAAAACAGATATAGAAAAAGAAAAGGAAATAGAAAGATGCATCAGCTTGATTTTCTACATTTATTAAAAGAGTTAATGCTATTGATAGTTTGATCTCACTTTTTCCATCTTCTCACCTTGCAGCATTGGAATTGGATCCAAATAATGATGCTGTCAAAGAAAATCTTCAGGTTTGTACATAGATAATTACTTTCTCTCTTAGTGCCGCACTTGTTCCAGTTTCTTAATTTGTCATTGTTGTTTGTAGGTGGCAGAGCAGAAATTGAATGAAGAACAGGAGCAAGGACGTCGTTATCAGGTAATTTTCTAGCTTTTCCAATATCAAGTAATTTATCGTGCAGAGGCGTGGCGACTAACATGATTTCATCATCCTCTCTTTCCCCTTTCTCCTATTAAAGGCAACCATTGTCTGTATTTTCCGGAGTCTGAGTTACAGTGGTGACAAACTAGAGAGTAAATTAAAAACTGAGAGAACCTGCCTTTCTAGTTTCTTCTCTACATTTATAATTAAAGTTTTTAAGTTGACTTTTAATGAACCAATCTCTCTAAATTGTTATTTGCCCTGGAGGCATGATTGGAGAAAACCAAATCTTTAGCAAACATGGCTTAAAAGTTGAATAGTTATCATCTTGTCTAACCAAAAGCTTTTACATTCTTCAATGTAGACTGTAGCTATAGAATTTGAGAGGATCTTAATTTGATCTATGATTTACAAGTAATAGTTGACATGTGGCATTTTTGGTAGTAATGCTCTCATTCTTTCCAGGATTCAAGGAACCATTCTACTGGAGCATCAGGAAACCAAGCTGTCCCACCACCCTTTGCATCCGTTTCATTTGATGCCGGTACTATTCCTGCCAATTTTGCGAGCATGTTCACCAATATTGCTGGAAATGCATCTCACAACCAGAATGGGCAAGGCAGGCCCGCGGAAGTTCATCACGAGACACAATTTCCATTTGCATCAACTAACTTTGATAGCAATGCTATTCCCTCAGATATTGCTAGCATGTTCATGAATATGGCCGGGGGTACATTTCAGGGGCAGGAATCTCAGAGCAGGTCTGCTGAGCAAAACCATGAAAGCGGACCTACTAATCCGCTCTCTAATTTTGCTAGTATGTTCATGAATATGGCTGGACAAGGTTCTCATGGACAAGGCTCTCAAGACCAACCACAAGGAGGTAACAATGCTGGTGTTGATGGCCCAGAAATAAATGCTGGAAGCACAAGCTTCAGTTTCAACTTTAATGAGCAAACACCCGAGGATTTAAATAGGACTCTCCGATCAATGATGGGAATGTTCTCGGGGGACCTCAAGGAGATCAACAGAGTGATGATGATGGAAGACCTGCCTCACGATAAGTGCAATGAGCCAATAGATATGATCACGAATTCACTAGTCTGTCGTTCCTGTTATCTTCATAATATTCATTGAGATCGATGATGGGAATGTTATCGGGAAAGCCTCAAGAAAAATCAAGAGCTATGGAAGACTTGCCTTAAGATAACTGCAATGAGGCAATAGCTGTGATTATTATTAGTCTGTCAGTCCTTTCATCTTATGATAATTCTCAATTTTCTCTCTTGCTATTTTTTTACTAGTACAGATGGTGAAGGCTTCACCCAGTTTTAGTTTTAAATTTGCACAATTGGTATGCATTAACTGCAATCCTTTCAATATTTTGTATATATATCTTTAATTGCATATTAGTAAAATAAATAATAATTAAATATTAATTATACATTGACACAAATCAAACAAGACCTAAGTCGATTATATTATGTTTATATATATTAAGTGTAATTTAGAAGATTTTCTAATCTCATACGAAGTAAATAGTGTCAGATTCCTAAAAAGAAAATCATTATAAAACATAAGGGGTAGTATTCAATCGAGGACAGAAGGAGTAATTGATAAACAAATTGTACAAGTAGGGTCAACAATCAAATCTCTTACCAAGATTCCATACACTTGTAGGGAATCCCAGTCCAAAGCAAGCTTGGGAGGAAAACCCCACTCCACAAATATCAGCTTTAATTTCGTTTTCGTTGGGAAGGAATGGATAAGGCGTACGAATAATATGGACGGAGGAGAAGTGATCAATGACTTGATTGACTCATCGTCCTTTTCTCTTTCAGCGCTTTACCGTGGAACAAGCTAACATACACCAAACACTAATCAGGAAAATCCTTATCAATTCAGTAATTCTTAATTAAGTGAATAACCCCTAACCGAGTAACCCAACTGCAATAAAAATTTGTGTTATACTTTTCAACAATTTCATACACCAATACCCCCACTAAATTGGTTGTCAATTGTCATTCATTAGTTCACATGATTCAATCATGCGTTTAGTTACATTTTGGGGAGATATTTTGAGGTAGGGCCCAAGTTCATTGACAAATTTCTTTTGTGATTTTTATGCTTACAACTTTATTATTATTATTATTATTATTATTATTATTATTATTATTATTATTATTATTATTATTATTATTCACTTTATTCAAGAGGATGACTATTTTGTTTGCCTCGTTTTTTCTACGCTAGCTACAATAGAATCATATACTCCTATTTTTTTGGTGTTCCACCCGGTTCACCTTTTGGAGTAATCCGAATTCAGGGCTCAGGAGTAGTTAGGTTCCGATCCCCTCCCAATTATTGTTGCGGAAGATCAAACACGCATTCCTCCCTACCAAGTGCAGCCACAATCACCACTACACCAACAACCAATTGGTATCATATACTCTTATTTCATATAGGATCATGTCAAGTCTTATTAAAGTCAGTTTTAAATTTAGAGCAAAGCGGAAAACCAAAGCTGTACAAAGTGTTGCCATTTGAAATAATGGAAGTTAAGTATAGCATCGCAGATTTGAAATATATGAACAATTGAACACCAACCAACAAGATCACAAAGTATTGTAAAACGAACACAATATTATGATTAGTCCAACCGGTATAAAGTAAACATCACATGTAACACGATAGAGACGACGTCATATCATATCATACCATACCATATCATAAGGCTGCTATAATACGATTATTCTAAGCCTAATTAGGAGTTTGGCTTATACACCACAATAGTCCCACAAACATACAACACTTCTTAAATTAACACAACAACATTAATTAGTTTAAATATATCTTCATCTTAATTAATTAAGATGGTATTTATTTGCCGCAGTTGCATGGGTCGCATTGGCAGTTGGCACCACACCTGCACCCATTCTCTGCAGCTACTCCACTCTCTGCTCCTTCACCGTATCTGTTTTCATTTGTTAACCAATCAATTCGCGCATAATTTCCATCAAAATCAATAACATAATTAAAAAAAAAAACAAAAAACTTACGAGATTTTGGGGGCAACACCGGTGACGAGAACGGTGGGGTTAGAGCTGTTCTCCACGAAATCAGGAAACATCTTGCAACTGAATCAACATATTTGATAAATAAACAAAGTTATTTAATTGAAACACCATTAATCCATTTTTATAAGAAAATTAAATAAAACCCTTTCACATAAATAAAATAAATGGTAAAATTTCATAACACCGAATTTATGACGATCAGTGACAAAATCGTTCGTGGGGTCGACTAACATAAATCGTCATAAAAAACCGTGCATAAACGAACAAAAACAATGAAAAGGATGAAAATTAATTACCCTCCGCAGCCGCTGCCGCAACCGCAGTTAGATCCACAACCACAGTTACCGCCACAGCAAGACATTTTCAAAGAGTAATTGCGAATTGATGATACTATCAAAAACAGAATGGAGCTGATAGATAGAGATAAGAAAAAGAGTAAGGGGTGGATTTACTTTATAATAGTGTAGTGAGGACTGAGGAGGGAGAGTGTAATGATTAACCGTCCACTTGTCCTCATCGGATAAGACCATCATTTTAGACCGTCTAATGTTGGCATCGAAGCTCTATCCTCCACATAATGTTGGCATCCTTTTGGACTAGAGGTGTCAATTCGGATGTCTGAATCCATATCGTACCAATTGTCATGGCCTGGATATTTTGATACCAGGTCGTGTGGCATGTTCTTGCCTTTCTGGCTATAAAAATGCAAGCTTAGTGGAAAATAGGGCTCGTGAGTACAAAGCAACACAAGCAGGCAAAAGTATTTCAAGGAAACACACGTCTATGGATAATGAGTGCAGAGTCGGGACTTGTGACTGACGATAATTCAAAGTAGGCATAAGCAGGTCCGACGACAAAGGGGCCTTTTTGGAAGGTTATCTTAGATTGGAGAGAATGTTTTAATACAAGACAAACACAATATCTATAAAGGCTTAAAAACAACGCATAAGTTTCAAAGCATTATGCAACCAGGTAGGAAGCGAACAATTACACCGATTTATTTTTAAAAACAGTTTATTTTTAAACTTAAGTTATACTAAATTATTATGTTCACTCAAGTCAAAATCAAAATAAAATAAAATATAATCTAGATCATTGAGTTGGATCAGATTGAGTGTGGTTGGAAAACAAAAAAAAAAAAATTAAAAAGGACCAAAGAAAAGCTACTCGTACTAGTTATTTCGATGGGCCCTCGTATCAATAAATTTACACATTGCATAAGCCGCCCTTAATGCAAAGTTTGTTCTTTGTTCACCAAAAATTGAGAAAAAAAAAACCTACTGCGTATAATAAAAACAAAGAAGCAATTTCCTCGATTTCTCAGTCACCTGCATTATTTTCACCCATATTCAAAATTAATAAAAAAAAAATAATTCAAATTAAAATCTAGTGTGCCGCAAAATACAATCACAAATTTGGAGAGATAGATAGAGAAACAGCCACTTCAGTTCATCTTCAACCTCTACTTACTCAGGTTTTTTCTGTCTTTCTTCAGAACTTAAAATTAACCAGAATTTTACTTGATAATTCATGTACGTAGTATATGGAAATGCTGGGGTTATTGGATCATTAAAAAAAAAAAAAAAATCATTGATTTTGATTCGAAGGAATTGAACTGATTATCTTATTTTATTTGTAATTTTGTCTATTAAGAAGCATTAAATTTAAAGATAACTCAAAGAAGCCATTTTTTGTGCTGTTTTTATTTGTATGATCTGCCCAACTCAATTCTAGCTCACCTAATAATTATTTATTTTTTTATAAAATTAATAGGTAATTTAAGCATTATGGGTGACAATATAGTTTGAAACTTTTGTTGAAATTAGTGTATTATCAACCTTTATTTTGAAAGTTCAAGTGGTGGGAATGGGACCCATCAATGGTGGTTCTTGCTGACTTACTTTTACCCTTTTAAAAAAAAAAAAAAAAATTGGACTGGGTTTTTTCCATTGTGCATCACTTTGCTTGATTGGAGTTTTTTTTGTTCTATTACTATTTCCTGTTTCATGTTGCTAGAAGTTCCTAAATAACAATTTGAGGGTGGAGCTTTAGAGGATTGGCCTCATTAATTGATACAGTTTCTTTCCTCTTACTTTGGTCGTAACGATTTACCAGGAGGTCATGAATGTTAGGATTAATCTAAATTGTACTATAGTGGTATAGCTTTTAGTTTGATGTGGAATACAGGCTTGCTACATAGGGGACCTTGATTGTTCTCTTTACATCAGAACTGGCATATATCGAAGCTAATGCTGATAGAATCTTTGTTAATGGAAGGTGTTTATATAGAATTGGATTTTGTCAATATGTGATATTAAGGGTTATGCCTTTTTTTTTTTTTTTTCCTAGGTGTACACTTAGGAGATGACTCCCTATGTAGTTGGGGTCCTTGTTCCTCTTGTGTTTACTCTTATAATTCGTAATACTAAGCGTGGGAAAAAAAGAGGATTGCCTATTGATGTTGCTGGGGAACCTGGATATGCAATCAGGAATGCTCGGTTTACTTCCCCTGTAACAACAGCATGGGAGGGTGTCTCAACTCTCGCGGAACTTTTTGAGAGGTCATGTGAAAATTACAGAGATGAACCCCTTCTTGGAACCAGAAAGCTGATTGCTAAGGAGACTGAAGTGACAGGAGATGGGAAATCCTTTGAGAAACTTCACTTGGGAGAGTATGAATGGCTTACCTATGGAAAAACCTTTGAATCTGTCTGTAGTTTTGCTTCTGGTTTGGCACAACTTGGACATTCAAGGAATGAACGTGCTGCAATCTTTGCTGATACACGAGAGGAATGGTACATCGCAATGCAGGTACTTGGTAAATCTTTTTGTTTTCCATTAATTAGAATAAGAAAAAAGGGAATTGAAAAACTTGCTGATTAGGCATATTTTTTTATCCAGGAAGAAACTTTTGTGCAGTAGGACTTACTCTTTGTTGTGTATTTGAACTTCATATTACAAGTGTTAGGATTTGTAGTTAGTTATTGATTTTTCCGCATTCTGCTCCCAATGGGTTTGGTAGTCTTGAAGTACTACCCACCCCACCCCCCTTTTTTTATCAGTCCTTGAATGAAACATAACATTGATGTTCTTTGACAGGCTTGTTTCAGGCGCAACATAACTATTGTGACAATATATTCTTCTCTTGGGGAGGAAGCTCTATCTCATTCATTGAATCAGGTTCGCTTTCTCTTTCTCTGCTTCTTCTTTGATTTCTTTTCCTGGCATTTCTTGTTGCAGGCACTCACAGTAGGTTTACCCCTTCTTCATTCTTGGAATTTGCTTCTTATTCCTGTGAGTTTCTATGCTGTGCCTTCAGAACCTTTCAATGGCCCGGACATTCTCTAAGAACACCGACAAAGAATTGATTCCTAGCAAAAGTAGCAATGGTGCAAAGTCCTTCCACATAAAATTGTGCTGAATGTTGTCCGTTTGTAAATATAGTGTTAGGATTTGTGGTTAAATTTCAGTTATGGCTTATGATGCACTTGACTTTTTTGAGCATTACGATCCATGGACTATAGAGACATGCATAACTGCAGGGTTTTTTCTGTCTAATTGCAAAAATTTTCAATGCCTGTTCAATCACAACTTGCACGCTTTAATCACTCTTGTACCTTTTCTTCTGTTGAGTAGAGATAACAGCAAATAAGCAGGGCAGATGATGCATAGGGACTTCAATCTTGTATGCTCTTGTGGATAACTAGATATTTAAGATAAGTAGGAGTGTAGGAATGTGCTCTACTGTATGCTTTTCTTGATGTTAACGATATAGTTTTCTGAGAAATTGAGAATTCCCATTAGTTTTGAAGGCTTTACAGTAACAGGGGTACAATTTTGGGGAAAACCAAGGGGCTAGCTATGGGAGTCCAACTAAGCAGATAGGGCTGTAAACCATTTAACAGAAAATCTACAAGCCTGAAATTTTTTTTCTATGATCACAGAACTTTTTGGTGGGCAATTTTTCTAAAGAGAACCTGCCAACTTGCCAAGTGTATAGTTTGGCAATTACTTAGTCTATTGTATATAGAATTATAGATCCCTGTTACTTGCACTTCTCTAAACAGCTTTTCTTTTATTTTTTTTGCAGACAGAGGTCACGACTGTAATTTGTGGGCAGAAAGAAATGAAAAAGCTTGTGGACATAAGTGGACAGCTTGACACTGTAAAGAGGATTATATGTATGGATGATGATTTCTCATCTAATGCCTCATTGGTGGAGGAAAATTGGACTGTCATATCATTTGCTGCTGTGGAAAAGCTTGGACGAGAAAATCCTGTTGATGCTGATTTACCCCTAGCAGCTGATGCTGCAGTAATAATGTATACCAGTGGAAGTACGGGCTTGCCAAAAGTGAGTAGGCTACAAGAACCATTTAATTTTTAAAATTTAGATTTAGAATGTCTGTTCTTCCCTCATTTCTCCTCTACTGCTCTGAACCTGATCCACAGCTACATCTTAGCTCCTTTTGAGTTATCAGCATTTTATGATTTTCTTTCATTATCTTTTGATGTTTATGGGTAATTGACTGATTACTTAGACATTGTAGATTTTCATTAAGTGATACCAATATACAATGATACCATCTACTGATAAACCCATGAAATATAATCTTTACCGGCTTAACTTTATAATTTCTCTAGCCTTTCTGTTTCTGTCGATAAATGCTTTTATTTTGCTTGATAGACAGAGATGATAGTTTCATGTGCACCATACCATCACCCCAATGTATCTAACTAGGCTTCCCTACCTAAGGCTAGTTAGGATTTTCAGCTTTTCAGGTGTGTGTCTTCTCACTTCTACTATTCCAAAGAGGCTCTTTTGGCCTTAATTTTGTTTCCTTCAGGGCCCCTGATCCTGGAGCTACTGACTAACATACTATTTGACTATGAAAAAGTAAAATGTAATTAGACATCTCATTTAGTCCATTGTAATTTAAAGTTGAATAATTGCCCCTCATAAGCTCATTCAACTTTCTTCTGAATGGACAATTTTGTTTGTCTGATTTATTATTGACTGATTTAATTGCAAGACAAAGATGCTGTTTCTTTGCCTCTATAGAGTCAAAATGCAGTCACTTGTGGGCAGCAATAAAATTTTGGTATACGTCTGGAAAAAAGATAAAAAAAACTCAACTTAAGTGGTGCGTTGATTGACTATCCACTTCGCAAATTCCGGGATCTCTAGGTAGGTATTCAATGTCTTTCAAAAAAAAAAAAAAAGGGTAGGTATTCAATTAATATGAGGAGGGTTTTAGGTACTTCAGATAACATTCAGGGCTTTTCATTAGGTAAGCCCACTGTTGTGCAGTACTATCAATGATCGTGATTTGTGCTTCTGTTGGGATGTGCTTTAAAGTTGCTGGATTGTGATTGCTTGTTAAACTTAGTTTGATGAAGGATGGGGAGAAAAATTGGTGCCCAGTAAGGATTGTACTGAATGTTGATGCTAT